AAAAAGGAGAGAAAAATAGCAGGAAAGAAAGAAAGAAAGAAAGAAACAAACAAACAAACAAACAAAGAAGTTAAGAAAAGCAAAAAGAAAAAGGAAAGAAAGAAAGAAAGAAAGAAAGAAAGAAAGAAAGAAAGATAAGAAAAAAATAAAAGAAAGAACACCATGGAGCATTAATAAGAAAATGTAGAAAAAAGGAAATGAAAGAAAATCGAGAAATGGAAGAAGAATGAAGGATTAATCATAAATCAGAAACATGAATCACACTGAGTAGTTGAGAAGCATTCCGGAATTAGGAAAAACAATAAAAGGAAATTCAAAAAGAAAGAATGAAAGAAAATACACAAACAAAAGAGAAAATGAAAGAAGAAAAAAATAAAAAATCTGTAAATGGAAGGAAAGAAAATGCAGAATGAAAAAATAATTGAAAGAGTTTTATTTAACAAAATATGATTCCATGAAATTTCGTTCCAATATTTCCTAAGGTATAAACTTGATCTAATCCATTTATGTCTGTCTCCCCACCATGTATACGACTTGAAATAGTAACATAAAAACAAGAATTCGGAACAACGAAACGAAACAAAAAGCAAAATTATCCATGTATTAAAATAAATGCAGACTATATTTCTTTTTCTCTTTGAAAAACAAAATCCCACAGTTTGCGTTTTTAATATAATTATTATAAATCAATAATGAATTATTTTTAAATTTTTTGAACAAAAAAATAATTAAATAAATAAAAGCTTTGTTTACTTCTTACACCTCGTTACGAGAAAAGCTAAAATTAATTTTGTTTCTTTCTCATTCACTTTTGAAAACGGATTCGCTATGTTAATGCACTTCAGTATTTTTATTGGATGTCTGTTCGTCTTTCAAGACGCCTATCCAGTATTTTGACGTGTACGTTTGAGCGAAGACAGGTTAAAAAAAAAATGGAAGCGACTCGGGAGAGAACTACTTAAAGAAGACTGGTCCACTTGTAAAAAAATAAAAAATGGGGATTGGGTAATTTTTGGGAGATTAGCATTCTTAAGTTACTTGTCAGGATTGAAAGATATTTAATTTTACCATTTTAGATGAAGGCTGATATTCACAAATATATATATATATATATATATATATATATATATATATATATATTCTCTACGTACAACGTGTGAAAGCACATAAGATGCCCGGCCCTCGACAGACGCCAACCAGGGGAGGTAACACAGTTTCAGTTGCTAAGGCAGTACTGCCACCCCTGGCGCCACTAGCTCTTTTTGCCACCGGACAGGGTATTGATTTCATATACATGTCATTCTTTTGCGATTTTTTTTTACAACTGCAAGTGAAATTCTCAACGTTGTGTTAAAATACACAACGCGCTCGTAGCAGCCGTTATTATTAACATAGAATGGAAAGTGAACAGATATATTTCATGTCAGAAGTAGCACTGTGTGGCAAGCTCAACACCCACAGAGCCCACCTGTGTCATAATGGAATTATGCTGAGCAGACCTTAGTTACAGTTTCTGGGAGAGAGCTTATTATCTACAATTTGAATCAACAATTGAACAAGGCCAGCACGCTTATGACCTCGGCCACGATGAATTGTGGCTTCGTGCTAGCACAGCTGACGAAGGCCCACAAGGGTTCCGTCTACTCAATTTCATTCACAAGGTGTGGGTCAACTCGTGGTATGGTTTTCAGGCACGTTATAAAGGTGCCGGACATTGGGATCGAACTCGATCCAATCCTATAACAACAGGAACTCTCGCCTTCCTGACAAAACGACCATGGTGAGATTCGAACCCAGATCTCCTGGTCAGAAAACGAACTATCTATGTACCCCTCTCTCTCTCTCTCTCTATATATATATATATATATATATATATATATATATATGAAGAAATATAGTCTTAAGATAAAGTGCTCAATATCAGAGATAGAGCGTGTAAATATATAAATGAACATAGAAGTCAACACTTAGAGGCAACAGTCTGTTTCATGATAGACGCAATCGTCATATATATATATATATATATATATATATATATATATATATATATATATTCCCAGATGAGGAAATTTTGGATTTTGTTGTGTAATTTATATGCTCTCTTATAATAAATACATTGAACTTTTTATGTATCAGTTTTCATCTTGTGTATTACTAGAATTCACTTGGCTTATATACCAACGTATTTATTACTGTACTATATATATATATATATATATATATATATATATATTTGTTTGTTTGTAGGTTTTGAAGATTGAAAGCTGTTTTTTAAAGCACTTATGAAATAAAAACTTATTACTATGGGATTTTAAATGTTTAATATTCTTAATATTTAATAATTTTGCTCTGCATCTTGACAAAGAGGTCTGCCTGGGTCTATATCCTCCTACACACACACATACACACACGCGCACACGCGTATATATATATATATATATATATATATATATATATATATATATATATATATAAACAAATGTTTAAATGTTATATATATATATATATATATATATAAACAAATGTTGCTCCACCTCCTTTTCCTAAGGATATATTTATAGAACTCATGATACTATGTACTAGTTCGGTGGAGTTCAGTTTTGACAATATTATGTATAGTCAAGTGGATGGGGTCCAGATGGGCAGTCCCTTGGCCCTGCATTGGCTGATATTTTTTGTGGGCTACCATGAAATGTTACTTTTCGGCAAAGTGTCTAAACCATTTGTTTACGTTAGATATGTCGATGACACCTTTGCAACATTCTCTAATAAAAGTGAGGCTGTTGAGTTCTTTAATGAGCTCAACTCCTTACACAATGGTTTGTCTTTCACTATGGAAGGGAGAAAGACAACTGTCTTTTTTTTGGACGTTTTTGTTGAACGCAGTAGAGGTGGTTTTATTACTAGCATCTGTCGTAAACCCACCTTCACTGGACTTTATTTGAATTGGCGTTCATTTGCTCCTGCATCAAGGAAAATTAATCTCGTTAAAACCTTGGTGTATAGAGCGCTTAAAGTGTGTTCCTCTATTAGATTGGACCGTGAATTTGGGGAACATTAGGAGATTTTCCTTAGTAACTGCTATCCGGAGGCCCTTATTGACTATATTATTAGTAAGAAAACTAAGGAATTTTATTCCCCTAAAATCCAGGGGCCTTCTAAATGTCCGGTTTATTTGAAGATTCCCTGGATTGGGGATAGTGGTCAGGGCTTAATTAAGCAGGTTAGCAAGTCGGTTTCGGTTGTTTCCCATCAGTTTGCTTTACGTAGCATTTTTCAAACTAGGTCTGCGTTTCCGTCTTTTCGCAAGGATGTATTGCCCTACATCAAATTGAGTAATTTAGTATATGAATTTAATTGCCAGTGTGCTGCTGGTTATGTGGGCGTACAACCTTGCATTTGAAAACTAGAATTAATCAGCACGTTCCTTCCAAAATACGACTTGGTAAGATAGATAGAATATGCTATCTTCCCCCCATGAATATGGAATCGGCTATTGCTCAACATTTAGTTGAGAATATAGCTTGTGCCAAGTTGTATAAAAAAAGAGTGGTTTAGAATTATTCATACAGCCGATTCCAATAATCATTTGAAGATTTTGGAATCGGTCTGTATAGGATTTAGAAAACCTTCTCTCTGCCGGCAGAAAGAATTTATAAGGTCTCTGAATCTGTTGGGGGATATTTTATTTTAACTGTCCCTCGCTATTTATTTTCACGATAACCCTTCCCTCGTTACAAGTATATATACTTGTTCGTTGTTTTAGTGTGTTTAGTTGGAAACATTAGTAGTGATATTGTGGAAGCAGACTTTAGTATGATCCGGAAACCCAGTCCTAAACAGGAAAGAAGGAATAGATCTCAACTTCTTTTCAAAAGATCTGAGAGATTTGGGAACTGAACGGTAGGCGATATAATAGTTTATTAATTTATTAAATGTAAAACGAAAATTCAAATATAATTATAGTCGATCGACTTATATTCTTGTCCATACGTAATTCTCTCTAAAAGACAGAATCCTTTCAACCACATCAAAAATCCCATCAATGGAATTTAGCATTTATTCCAGCGAAGCAATATAAACCTAAATTGATCTTTGTGAACATATCAGCCACACGTCGAGTGATGCTTACAACTATAGCACAGATAATCTATAACAGGATACCCACTAATGGGTTTGTTTTAAGAGTAAGGTTTTTTTTAATCTACTTTTTACACTATTTTTTTTTATTTCTTAATTATTGCCGATTGACCTTGTCTTTGTATTTAAAAAAAAAGAAGCCATATTTTGCTGTCTGATTCAGTTAGTCTCAATGGCAAACACACTAATCCCGTCAAAGGCGTTGTGCATGAGATGGTCGACCTTAGGCAAAATGACGGCAGGTTAGAAAAAGAGAAGGGAGGATAAACGTGGGTCAGATTTTAATTGGCGTTTCGCCTTCTTTTGCATTCTCTCTTTCTCTTCAAGTGCTAGGATGTGAAAAGGATCCGACCTGAAATCAAAGATTTCGTAAGAAAAAAGAAAACACTTAAGGGATATTTACGGAAAAGATGAAGTCATTTTCTTTATTTTGAGGGAGTTTTAAGGCCATTTACGAAGAAGATGAAGATATTTTCCTTATTTTGAGGGCTGGTAATACTTGTGAAGCTAAAAATAAATATTAAGAGATTTAAATGAAATCAATTATTTCAGAAAAGACGGAAAAAAGCACAGAAATGATAAGAAAAAAATGGAATATAATAATAATAATAATAATAATAATAATAAAAATAATAAATATAATAATAACAATATTATTAATAATAATAATGATAATGATACTAATAATGAGAAGAAAGAAAAAAGAACAGAAGAAGAAAAGAAAAAGAGGAAAGAGAAAAAAGAAGAGAACAAGAAGAGAAGACGAAAAGAAAAACAAGAAAAGGTGAAAAAGAAGAACAAAAGAAAAAGCACAAAGGAAGAAAAGAAGAAGAAGAAAGAACAAGAAAAGAAGAAGAAAATTAAGGAAAAAAGAAAAAGAAAAGAACAAGAACAGAAGAAAAGTAGAAGAACAAAAAGAAGAAAGAAAAAGAATAAGAAAGTAAGAAGATCAGAAGAAGAAGAAGAAAAAGAAGAAGAAGAAAAAGAAGAAAAGAAGAAAAGAAGAAGAAAAAGAAAAGAGAAGAATATAAGAAGAAGAAAAGAAGAACATTAAGAAAGAGAAAAAAAGAAGAAAAGAGAAAAAAAAGAAGAAAATAGGAACAAAAGAAGAAATGAAAAAGTACAAGGAGAAAAAGAAGAAGAAAAGAACAAAAACAGAAGAAGAAAAGTAGAACAAGAAGAATAATGAGAAAAAGAAGAAGAAAAGAAGAAGAACAGAAGAAGAAAAGAAGAACAAGAATGAGAAAAAGAAGAAAAAAGAACACGCTCAGAAGACAAGAGAAAAAAGAAGAAAAGAAGAAGAACAGAAGAAAACAAGAAGAAGAAGAAGAATGAGAAAAAGAAGAAAAAAAGAAGAAGAAAGAGAAAAAAGAAGAAAAGAAGAACAGAAGAAAACAAGAAGAAGAAGAAGAATGAGAAAAAGAAAAAAGAAGAAGAAAAGAAGAAGAAGACAAGAGAAAAAAGAAGAAAAAGAAGAAGAACAGAAGAAAAAACAAGAAGAAGAAGAAGAATAAGAAAAGAAGAAAAGAAGAAGAAAAGAAGAAGAAGAAAGAGAAAAAAAGAAGAAAACAGAAGTAAAACAAAAAAAGAAGAAGAAAAAAAAAAGAAGAAAAAAGAAGAAAAAGAAAAAAAAGAAAGAAAAAAAAAAAAAGAAGAAGAACAGAAGAAAACAAGAAGAAGAAGAAGAAGAATGAGAAAAAGAAGAAAAGAAGAAGAGGAAAGAGAAAAAAAGAAGAAAAGAAGAAGAACAGAAGTAAACAAGAAAAAGAAGAAGAAAGAGAAAAAGAAGAAAAGAAGAAGAAAAGAAGAAAAAGAAAGAGAAAAATTAAAAAAAGAAGAAGAACAGAAGAAAACAAGAAGAAGAAGAAGAAGAATGAGAAAAAGAAGAAAAGAAGAAGAGGAAAGAGAAAAAAGAAGAAAAGAAGAAGAACAGAAGTAAACAAGAAGAAGAAGAAGAAGAATGAGAAAAAGAGGAAAAGAAGAAAAGAAGAAGAAAGAGAAAAGAAGAAGAACAGAAGAAAACAAGAAGAAGAAGAAGAATGAGAAAAAGAAGAAAAGAAGAAGAAAAGAAGAAGAATAAGAAAAAAGAAGAAAAGAAGAACAGAGGAAAACAAGAAAAGAACAATGAGAAAAAGTAGAAAAGAAGAAGAAAAGAAGAAGAAGAAGAAAGAGAAAAAAGAAGAAAAGAAGAAGAAAAGAAGAAGAAAAAGAAAAAAGAAGAAAAGAAGAAGAACAGAAGAAAACAAGAAGAAGAAGAATGAGAAAAAGAAGAAAAGTAGAAGAAAAGAAGAAGAAAGAGAAAAAAGAAGAAGAACAGAAGAAAACAAGAAGAAGAAGGAGAATGAGAAAAAGAAGAAAAGAAGAAGAAAAGAAGAAGAAAGAGAAAAAAGAAGAAAAGAAGAAAAAAAGAAGAAAACAAGAAGAAGAATAAGAATGATAAAAAGAATAAAAGAAGAAGAAAGGAAGAAGAAAAAAGAGAAAAAAGAAGAAAAGAAGAAGAACAGAAGAAAACAAGAAGAAGAAGAAGAATGAGAAAAAGAAGAAAAGAAGAAGAAAAGAAGAAGAAGAAAGAGAAAAAAGAAGAACAGAAGAAGAACAGAAGTAAACAAGAAAAAGACGAAGAATGAGAAAAAGAAGAAAAGAAGAAGAAAAGAAGAAGAATAAGAAAAAAGAAGAAAAGAAGAACAGAAGAAAACAAGAAGAAGAAGAATGAGAAAAAGAAGAAAAGAAGAAGAAAGAGAAAAAAAGAAGAAAAGAAGAAGAACAGAAGAAAAATAGGAGAAGAAGAAGAATGAGAAAAAGAATAAAAGAAGAAGAAAAGAAGAAGAACAGAAGAAAACAAGAAGAAGAAGAAGAATGAGAAAAAGAATAAAAGGAGAAAAAAAGAAGAAGAAAGAGAAAAAAAGAAGAAAAGAAGAAGAACAGAAGAAAACACGAAGAAGAAGAAGAATGAGAAAAAGAAGAAAAGAAGAAGAAAAGAAGAAGAGGAAAGAGAAAAAAAGAAGAAAAGAAGAAGAACAGAAGAAAACAAGAAAAAGAAGAAGAATGAGAAAAAGAAGAAAAGAAGAAGAAAAGAAGAAGAAATAGAAAAAAGAAGAATAGAAGAAGAACAGAAGTAAACAAGAAAAAGAAGAAGAATGAGAAAAAGAAGAAAAGAAGAAGAAAAGAAGAAGAATAAGAAAAAAGAAGAAAAGAAGAACAGAAGAAAACAAGAAGAAGAAGAAGAATGAGAAAAAGAAGAAAAGAAGAAAAGAAGAAGAAAGAGAAAAAAAGAAGAAAAGAAGAAGAACAGAAGAAAAGAAGAAGAACAATGAGAAAAAGAAGAAAAGAAGAAGGAAAGAAGAAGAAGACAAGAGAAAAAAGAAGAAAAGAAGAAGAAAAGAAGAAAAGAAGAAGAAGAAGAAGAATGAGAAAAAGAAGAAAAGAAGAAGAAGAAAGAGAAAAAAGAAGAACAGAAGAAAACAAGAGAAAGAAGAAGAATGAGAAAAAAAGAAAAGAAGAAGAAAAGAAGAAGAGAAAGAGAAAAAAAGAAGAAAAGAAGAAGAACAGAAGTAAACAAGAAATAGAAGAAGAATGAGAAAAAGAAGAAAAGAAGAAGAAAAGAAGAAGAAGAAGAAAGAGAAAAAAGAAGAAAAGAAGAAGAACAGAAGAAAAGAAGAAGAAGAACAATGAGAAAAAGAAGAAGAAAAGAAGAAGAAGACAAGAGAAAAAAGAAGAAAAGAAGAAGAAAACAAGAAGAAAACAAGAAGAACAATGAGAAAAAGAAGAAAAGAAGAAGAAAAGAAGAAGACAAGAGAAAAAAGAAGAAGAACAGAAGAAAACAAGAAGAAGAAGAATGAGAAAAATAAGAAAAGAAGAAGAAAAGAAGAAGAAGAAAGAGAAAAAAGAAGAAAAGAAGAAGAACAGAAGAAAAGAAGAAGAAGAAGAAGAATGAGAAAAAGAAGAAAAGAAGAAGAAAAGAAGAAGAAGAAAGAGAAAAAAGAAGAAAAGAAGAAGAACAGAAGAAAAGAAGAAGAAGAACAATGAGAAAAAGAAGAAAAGAAGAAGAAAAGAAGAAGAAGACAAGAGAAAAAAGAAGAAAAGAAGAACAGAAGAAAACAAGAAGAAGAAGAAGAATGAGAAAAAGAAGAAAAGAAGAAGAAAAGAAGAAGAAGAATGAGAAAAAAGAAGAAAAGAAGAAGAACAGAAGAAAAGAAGAAGAAGAACAATGAGAAAAAGAAGAAAAGAAGAAGAAAAGAAGAAGAAGACAAGCGAAAAAAGAAGAAAAGAAGAAGAAAAGAAGAAAACAAGAAGAAGAAGAAGAATGAGAAAAAGAAGAAAAGAAGAAGCGGAATGAGAAAAAAGAAGAAAAGAAGAAGAACAGAAGTAAACAAGAAAAAGAAGAAGAATGAGAAAAAGAAGAAAAGAAGAAGAAAAGAAGAAGAAGAAAGAGAAAAAAGAAGAAAAGAAGAAGAACAGAAGAAAACAAGAAGAAGAAGAAGAATGAGAAAAAGAAGAAAAGAAGAAGAAAAGAAGAAGACAAGAGAAAAAAGAAGAAAAGAAGAAGAACAGAAGAAAACAAGAAGAAGAAGAATGAGAAAAAGAAGAAAAGAAGAAGAAAAGAAGAAGAAAGAGAAAAAAGAAGAAAAGAAGAAGAACAGAAGAAAAGAAGAAGAAGAAGAATGAGAAAAGAAGAAAAGAAGAAGAAAAGAAGAAGAAGAAAAGAAAAAAGAAGAAGAAGAAGAAAAGAAGAAAAGAAGAAGAAGAACAATGAGAAAAAGAAGAAAAGAAGAAGAAAAGAAGAAGAAGAAAGAAAAAGAAGAAAAGAAGAAGAACAGAAGAAAACAAGAAGAAGAAGAAGAATGAAAAAAAGAAGAAAAGAAGAAAAAAGAAGAAGAAGAAAGAGAAAAAGAAGAAAAGAAGAAGAACAGAAGAAAAGAAGAAGAAGAAGAAGAATGAGAAAAGAAGAAAAGAAGAAGAAAAGAAGAAGAGAAAAAGAGAAAAAGAAGAAAAGAAGAAGAAAAGAAGAAAAGAAGAAGAAGAACAATGAGAAAAGAAGAAAAGAAGAAGAAAAGAAGAAGAAGACAAGCGAAAAAAGAAGAAAAGAAGAAGAAAAGAAGAAAACAAGAAGAAGAAGAAGAATGAGAAAAAGAAGAAAAGAAGAAGAAAAGAAGAAGAGGAAAGAGAAAAAAAGAAGAAAAGAAGAAGAACAGAAGTAAACAAGAAAAAGAAGAAGAATGAGAAAAAGAAGAAAAGAAGAAGAAAAGAAGAAGAAGAAAGAGAAAAAAGAAGAAAAGAAGAAGAACAGAAGAAAACAAGAAGAAGAAGAAGAATGAGAAAAAGAAGAAAAGAAGAAGAAAAGAAGAAGACAAGAGAAAAAAGAAGAAAAGAAGAAGAACAGAAGAAAACAAGAAGAAGAAGAAGAATGAGAAAAAGAAGAAAAGAAGAAGAAAAGAAGAAGAAGAAAGAGAAAAAAGAAGAAAAGAAGAAGAACAGAAGAAAAGAAGAAGAAGAACAATGAGAAAAAGAAGAAAAGAAGAAGAAAAGAAGAAGAAGACAAGAGAAAAAAGAAGAAAAGAAGAAGAACAGAAGAAAACAAGAAGAAGAAGAATGAGAAAAAGAAGAAAAGAAGAAGAAAAGAAGAAGAGGAAAGAGAAAAAAAGAAGAAAAGAAGAAGAACAGAAGAAAACAAGAAAAAGAAGAAGAATGAGAAAAAGAAGAAAAGAAGAAGAAAAGAAGAAGAAGACAAGAGAAAAAAGAAGAAAAGAAGAAGAAAAGAAGAAAACAAGAAGAAGAAGAAGAATGAGAAAAAGAAGAAAAGAAGAAGAAAAGAAGAAGAAAAGATGAGCAAGAAGAAATTCATTGGAAGCTTTTAACACAATATGCCAACAGTGCTCTAGAGTGTACACGTGTGTATGAGTGGATCAAGATGTTTAAAAGTGGCTGGACAAGCGTGGCACACGTAGAAGAAGCAGGCATCTGGTCAACCTCCACTACTGACGTAAACATTCATCAAGAAAGAGAGATATTAGTGGCGAACAGGCAACTTATCAGCGATGAGGTTACAAGTTCTCTCTAAATTCGGATCACTGCTCGTTGTTCATCCATGATACACACTGCTAGCGGAGCGGCCATGTTTACACTGTAGCAGCAGCAAGAAAACTGGCAGGATCAAGCTCAAACTTCGATCACATGATCTCAGTAATATCAACTATAAGCATGTATGATCAGAAGGCAGTGTGACAGATCTAAAGATATGCTATGGCGAACGTACGGATAACTTTTGGTTTACCTTCGTACATAGATTAGGTAAATAGCGTTTGATAAATTACACCAAAAATAACACCCTATCCTTGGCATATTTTAGAAAGATATTAAAATAATCAAGAACCTATGGTAGCAGCAAACAACCCGGAAAAACGGATTCAGTAAATATACAAATATAGAAAGATGTGTAAGACAAGGATGTATCTTCTCGCCGGACTTATTCAACCTTGTGCAGCGTAGCGATTCTGAAAAAATTAATAATTCTTCCTCGGTTTGTTATTACGGGCCACAATCTTAGCAGTATAGGATATTCAGAGGAAGCAGTAGTGAGAGTAGAGTAAACAGGATATTGCAAGAACTCATAAAGAAAGTAGTCAAAGAAAGCGAGATAAAAGGACTAAACACCAATTGAAGAAGACGGAATTCTTCAGCAAAAGGAAGAAGCCAGCATGTAAATTACAAATTAGATATACCAAAATCAAATAATACAACAATTTAAATATCTCGGAAATGCTTTAAGAGAGGACGGAAAGTGTGAATCTGAAATCAGAGGGTGCGTTGGGATAACCAAAGATGCCTTCATAAAGCTAAGAAATGTATTAAGGAACAGGAAAATATCGAAAGAAGCAAAGAAATGAGTACTGAAATGTTATGTAGCATCAGTCCTTCTATATGGTAGTGAATGCTGGATAATTTCCTCACCGATGAAGAAGAGACCTGATACAACAGAAATGTTATTCTACAGAATGACGCTGAGAAGACCTTGGACCCATTGTGTGCCCAATGACGAAGTATTAGAGAAAATTTGTTGGGTTCATGGTGAGAAAAGAAGGCTTGGAAAATCTGATACTCAAAGGTATGAAGTCAAGCAGGACAGAGGAAAACAAGGCATGACTTACTTAGTGAGCTTGAGCAAATGTATGGCGGAACAAGGTTTACGAGAGATAATGAAAAGGCAAAATTTATCAAGAGCTACGGTAATTGGGGAGAGCCATGATCACCTTTTCTGACGTGTGGCTTTCTCACTCAATAGAATAATTATGTAATAGCGCGATTTAAGAAAAGTTGTTTGGTTGTTTTTTTTTGTTTTTTTTTAGGGGCAACCTTTATAGAAATCTAAATATTTTGAACACAATTTTATAGCTTCAACTAAATATATTTGGAACACATTTGTATGCCTTTAATTACAGATAAAATGTATTTTTGATAATTTTGCTTTAAAAAATGTATTGTTAGTAATTTTTATATAAAAATCTATTGCTGGTACTATAAGAATGCATTTTCATACTTCCATAGTGTTTTAGCTTGTTTGAAGGGTCACTATTTATCCATATTTGAGACCCTAATAGATGTTACAACACCGGGTGAGTGTGTACCTGGGAATAACATCAGTTAAGTGGTGGTTCTATGTCCCTCAAACCCTCCAATCGCCTGATCAAAGACCTTGCTACCGGGCATATGTTATCGTCATTCCCAGTACTAATTTAAGGAAATAAAAAGAAAAATTAAACAATGTTCAACAATACTTCAACACTATATTTGTTATGCTTAAAAATTGCATACACAAAAAAATACAAGTCTTTTTACAAACTTAGCTAGCCGTGAGAAAAACGGTTGTACTGGTAATCAACACGACAAAATGAATAATACGAAAGCCAGCGTGAATGGAATGCAACTTAAACGTGAGTAACATGATAGAGTCTAGCATATCTTGAAAATGTCCGCCAGTTGACTTAATTAAAAGCTATTAATAAATTAGTTTAGTATATTTCGTACGGAAATCTCCTGTCATTTTGTTCATTGCCTCAGGGTGAGACGTTAGTAATTTGCATATTTAATGATCTTTGTGTGTTTTAAGAGTTGAAAGGTCGGTGACGCCGCCCAGACTACCAAATGATTTATGTGGGTTGCACAACAGCAAAGTTAAACAAAAGATTTAATGTCGACAGGTATAATGTCTAACACAATGTGACTTCAACTTTTATCACGAACGACTGTAATTTCGACATTCAAAATACGGTACACATTCTGAAAAAATATCTAGAATCAATTGATATTTCAACTCTTAAATTAGGCATTAATAATAATAATATTAATCTTTCAAGGAGTCTCCCTGTCGCCGTTTCTGTTCTGTCTGTCTCTAATCCTCCTTTTGCATTAACTAAACAGCGATAACTATAGATACAAAGTAAAAAAGAAAGTGTTTAATAACAAATTCGACATGGATGATATCAATAATTCCAGTTTAAGTTGGATCCCTCGGTTTGATTGAAAAAGGTTTCTATAGACTTATTAAAAGATTTCCTGGTAGCCCATGTCTTAAAGAAATACAAAAAATGTACTCACAAGTACAGTTCACACATTACGAAGAGCTTTATTCTAAGTAAAATGTGTGTGATCTTAGGCTTTTTGTTTTATTTTTATTTTTTACAAAAATGATCAGTGGAAAATGAAGCCATTTCTGACAGTAGGTCTCTTGTTGGGACCCAGAAGGAACTTTGTATACAACACAAACCTAAGGAAATAATAATAATAATAATTAAATAAAAGACGGCATCTGAATACAACAACAAATCCTGTTGTTATTTTGATTTTGGAAGTTGTCAAAAGAATCAATCAAAGATTTGGTCCAAATACCTAGTTGCCCTAAAATATGTGAACTGCAAAAAGTCATACTAATGGCTACTTCTCACATCTTGCGTAGCGTTAAAATGTAAAAAAATATTGATTAACGTTGCATTTAAATAAATATTTGAAAGTTCTAGTTGCCAGGAATCCAAGAAGCTGGAAGAGTGTTCCACAGACGCGAAGTGCGAGAGACCAATCTCTTTGCATAGAACTTATGATAAAACTAGCAATTTCAGCAGCAAAATGATGAGACCTATCTGCCAATCTAGCACTGCGCTTACATTTGTAAAGTCGAGGTAGCAAAAGAGAAAATCTCATCAAAAAAGGCACAGGAAAGCTACGTTAAGGCAGCGGGAAAACAATTGCAATGATGCAAGGTCAGTTCAATTAACATTGCAGATTCTACTTTGAATTTCGTCAAAATTTCTAGGCACATAGCAGAAACAGCAGGGATCAGATGTGTCAGCAATATTTAATTTACAATCAACTGACTGGCTTATAAAGGTCTAACACATATTAAGATGAGAGATATTGCCCGACACCACACACTGAACTAGCATTTTTTCTTTGTAGACTAAATTATAGTAAGAAAAAGATATTCGCAGTTTCAATGAAAAAATGTTATCTTCAAATATTCAGGTTCTGCACGCTACAAAAAAATAAATAAATAAAAGATAATTTAAAGGCAAGAGTGGCAATCCATCAAATCAATCAAATAGTCTTCAAAAGTCTCAAAGATCAAGATGGAGCCAGCAGGAACGAAGCAAAAGTTTTAAGTTGAAGAAAAGTCACCATAACGGACAAGTAATCCAATCACATTTGTACAGATTTCATTTCTTTTTTCTTTTGAAACGGAACTGTATGTTCACATCAATTCTGAAAAGTTAGATTAGAATGGTTAATTTTATATCAAAGCTCAAGGGTAAGTTTGTCGTTGAATTTTCTATAAAGCGGTGAAAATAGAACTCCTTTCCCTTTTGTACAATTCAACCAGAGACGCTTCGTTAACCATTACTCAACGTTGAAGCGCCTTTCAATTAAAAACATTACCTGTGCCTGGAGTAAAAACGAGTTAAATATTAGGTTGTACGGAAATAACCTCCGATTTTAGAATCAACTTTATACCTGAATTAATGTATTTAAACAATGTTTAAATCGGTCAAAACCCTGAACATTTATACATTTCAAGTTACAAACGTAGTTGCTTATTTTATATTAAGTTACAGATGCAAAAAAAGTGCATTGATCCTTTGTCATGATCAAGGCATTGAACCAAGTACTTCCATTTCTTATCACAATTCAATATCTCTATCTATAAAAGGCAGGATATGTGTGTGTGTGTGTGTGCGTGTGTGTGTGTGACGAATGCATGGCCGCAATTTTCGACGGATTTGTACCAAAATTTACATGCACATGCTCCAAGTTAGCGAGAAGCCCAAGACCGGCTTTGCATTTCCCAACTCCCATCGATAGTGGAAATAATCGATATTTTCATGCTTCTACGGCAGTTTTCATGTAGTTTGCGGCCATTTTTTACTGGCCAGAGTGAGTGCCTATAGCTGGCTGCGACAAATAGGCAGGAAGATTCTATTGGCCAGCGTGAGAGCCAACAGCTGACTGACACGAATGTTAAGTAGCATGCAAAAAAAATCGATAGCTGCATTCGTCACAAGTGGGAAAAATTTAAATCTGCATGGCACTTTAGTCCAATTGGCTCATTAGCTTGCTTAAACTCAACGTTGATTCTGATTCCGAAGAACTGAGTTGGGTGAGAAAAAGTATTTGTTGTTAACATTCTTTTTTCATTCGGTTTTTACAGTTACGGGTCCTTTTTTAAAGCTGATCGTTTTGTGTTCATTTTGTTTAGTTCTTTTTTCGTAACAGATTTAATGTTTAGTATAGAGCTTAGAAAAAAAACGCAGTGTGAGATAGGCAAGAAATTAGGCATGTAGCAACATCAGCACGGAAAAGGGCACTCCTTTAAAGGCAAGGAAGGCAAAAATATTTTAAGTCAAGTAATAGCGATTGCTGTACGAGTCGTACGATTTTTGAACTAAGCACGGGCAACGCCGGGCCATGCTGCTGGTTCGATCATAAAATGGATGATTCGACTTTTTCAGAAAAAGCATCGAATACACTTAAAAAAGAACAGATTTCTTGCTTCAGTAAACAGTAAAGAGCGAATAAAATATATTAGGTTGTGTTGTGGCCTTGTTAGGGCCAAAAATAAAGACACGAAGAGAGGAATTGAGTTAAAAATATATATATTGACAGAAACACTAATACAAACATATACAAACGGGAGTCTTACAGCAAGAATGCTCGGTCCGACTGTCAGAGCTGACTGCTGGAAACTTCCCTGTCCAAAAGGCAGTACCTGCTCCTATTTATAGCTGGGAGAGTCCATTCGTGCGTGGGTAAATTACCATAACAGATTGTTTGAAAAATAATTTCCTATTTTAGAATCAACTTTTGTTCCTCAATGCATTTAGACAGTGAACATCTATAAATTTACGCCATCGAGGTACAAATTTACTCCCTTATGATAAATGTCTAAAAGTTTGGACGCCAAGAAATCTTTGAATGCAGTTTTTGCATTTTCTTTGTCTTTGAGTCGAAGGAATTGTCAAGCTGCTTGAAAAAGCGGTAGTCAGTAGAATATAATGCAAGTGACAAAGTTTCGTAACCCAAGTCGGTGGGCTGCTGCACTGGCTGTGCATTTTGATGATAGTGACAATTATTTTTTGCCTTTTAAACTGTTCTATCGAGACTGAAACAAATGAAAATCAGAAGGAGCCGAATCAGAAGAATACAGTGGGTGCTGGAGGGTGGATCCCATTTCAACTGTTTAAGCTTCTTCAAAATCTATTCTTTAACATTCTGTCTGGTGGTGTTGTAACCTAGGAAGGTTTACTGAATAAGAAATAATCAAAACGGAGGTTGGAAATGAAATGATAATCTTTATAACATCAACAAAATACAATACTCTCCAGCGGCGTGAAATAGGTAAACCACTGCTTGTTGTGAACTACTTAGACAGCATATTACTCCCACTTACAATATTGACCAACGTATTCATAAGGATTGGGACATACCCATTAGTATTCATAGGTACGGTATATAACAGCTGAAAAACGACACATTTCCGATTTGCCAAAATCGGCCGATTATTTTTCAATAGCCGCATTGAAATTGGGGAGTTAGTCGCAATACTTCTTTGCAGTTTTTGTTTCGCCGGCTGGAAGAAGCTCAAAGTGATTTATCTCTCTGCAATCTCACCAAACGGACAAAAATAACTGTATTGGATGCAATCCGGCATTACCAATGGGTTATTCCCATTTACAAGCTTGTTTCCAACTCGATTTGCGTCAAACATTATCATAAACGATCCATGTTTCATTGTCTGTGACAATTCTGTCCAAGAAGGGCTTCTTTTCGTGGTATAACAGCAAATAACTTGTCGTAGAAAAAGGATCGGGCATTTCTGTTAGAAAACGTGGCATCCACGTGTCGAGTTTGGAAAAGTAGTTAAGATATCGCATTTCAGGCTCTTAGCAATCTCTTCCATCGAAATTTTCTGTTTTCCATCGAAAATCTTCGGTTTTCCATCGAAAATCTTCTCCACGATGGGAAACAGGGCGACTTCATCGATGTCGGAAGATCGCCCGGGGTGTGGTTGATCGCTTAATTTAAAATCACCCTGGCAAAATCTGTCAGACTACTTTTTGACCGTCTGAAGAGTTGGGGCACGATTCAATCTCTTTTTTTTCTGTGGCAGTTCGAACGCTTACACCTTTCTGAAATTCAGTGTATGGTGAAAGTTTAACTTTTTACCCTCCATCTTTAAGCCATTCATTTGTCGACAAAACGTTAACATTTAACAAAGTCTGACTCACAGCTAAACGATACAAGGTTTCAAATTAGAACATACTAAACATCGAAACCAAAAACCAGTGTCTAGTCGCTGTTATTTTATATTAACAATAAAAAGTGTGCGCGGACTTTTACAAAGATCACATATTTAAGAACTCGAAAAGTTCATTCTAAATTCAGGGATCATTTTCCGGACAATGTAAAGTTTTTGATTGATAATAAACAAGTCTTATATCTAATAAATGCAATATTTACTTCCGATACAGTTTTGTTTCTTATAGCATCTAGCGAAAACTTTAAAAAAGATCAGAATTTTAGAATGCAGTTGGAAGTATTTAAATCCAAGAAAGCAGTCCTAGTGTCTAAGTCTCCGTATTCCAAATGTAAGAACTTTCCAATAAGATTTTTTTCTCTTTCGAATAATAACTTTGTAGAAATAACTCCCACATGGATGCTCTCCTGAACACTACAATTTTCAAATCAAGAGTCACTCGCTACATATCCTTCTTATTTACATAATGTTCACATTCTATTATCTCATATGACATTCCTATAACTCACAACATTCAGTTCTACTCAAACTTGAGTGGATCTCGGGCCTTAGTATGAAATATAGTAAAAAAAGAGGTAGTGATATCTACACGACAATATACATCTCAGTATAATATACCCCTTCATTTTCTATGTATATTATGTTGCTTTCACCAAAGAGCTCCAGCGAGCGTCGATAGACATAAAGCTCAACTAGTACAAAATAATAAGAATTTATAAAATAAAAATATGCTAAGATAAAGAATAAATAGGAAAGATTTATCAATCTAACATATTTCACTTTTATTAAAGCTTTATTTTATTAAACCAGCGAACATAATGCCTATTAGACATACATGTACCTACTTCTGAATATACATTATCATCTGATTCTAGACTAGAATTTATTATATAAATATATAAAGCAATAGTTTTCAATTAGGCTTGGAATCTGTTAATTTATTGGAACTTCGATAGGACGCGTCGTCTCTCCTTGAATTCAGAACGCCATAAATTATACTTTTTTATTTGAATGTACGCGAAACATGATTAACCAATGAAAATCAAACAAGACAAAAAAAATGTCAGAATTTCTTTCGTCTTTTTCTCTATATCTCATTCTCTGATGAAGTTTTAATAAAAGTGAAACATCTTAGATTGATAAATGTTTCCTATTTGTTCTTTATTTTATCATTCTGTCGGATTCCGATCCATATTTGATCTATATCTGATCCCAACAAATAATAATCATAATAATAATAATAATAATAATAACAATAATAATAATAATAAACAGTGAACATAAAAAAAAAACTGAATAGGTTAAAAAAAATGGCTTCCTACGACATTTATTTTTTTAATTTAATTCTCCTGACAGACGTTGTGCACATGTAGTGTAATGGTGGAAAGGACGGTGGCAACGGTCCCAATGTTAGGCTCGGCCTCGGGCGGTGGGCATGACGATCTCGCAGAGAGAGACCGGCCCCCGACTTCCATTTATCATTATGCAGTTATGTATTATGAATCGGGAATGAATTGAATTTTAAAACAGCCTCGTCCCTTGCTTTTTCACTGGGGAAGGGGACGCCTGCGGGCTGTATTTGCTCATCAAACACGCCATTAATATTCTTCTCTTTCTTTCTTTATTTCTTTCTTTCTTTCTTTCTTTCTTTCTTACACTGCGACTCACACTCTTTCTTTTACTCTCTCTTTTTTTTTCTTCGTCGCAGTCTGCCTCACTTTCTCTTTCTCCCTCTTCTGCTCTTTTTCTACTGAGCTTTTTCTCCCGCTCACAAACACACTCCCGCTCTTTCTTTTTTCTCCACTTAACTCTCACTCACTTCTTCTCTCCATCCTCTACTTACTCTCTCTCTCTCTCTCTCTCTCTCTCTCTCTCTCTCTCTCTCTCTCTATTTTGCATGTGTGCGTGGGTGGGCAGATTAGGAGATTTTTACGTATCCATTTTCTCAATTCTTCCACACACACACACACACACACACACACACACACACACACACACACACACACATATATATATATTTATATTTTATATATACGCACATACATACAGAATATGAATGGTAAATAGCCGCCATTTTATATTTCGCGCATGCGCGTTGTTTGTTTTTAATTTTATCGACTGCACAGTACAGCAGGGTCAGTTGGACACTGGCTGCGAGAAAAAAAAGAGCACCATGATACAATTCACTCCACATGAAATTTGGAAACGACATGCTGTACTGCTTGGCATTCACGCCAGAATCTCCAATACGAATATTTCAGATGTGTTTGGGTCTGAATCGAAGAACAGTGTAGAGGATTCGGAAAGAGTTGGATGAGTTTAATGGTGATTACGAAAGTACGGAAGCTTGGAAATCTCATTCTGACCATTCTGATAAGAAAAGAACTGTCAAATTTATTAGTGAGGGCCTCAGACTCAACACAGAAGCCTACATCAAGAGGCTTTCGTAAGTATTGCTACCCTTGGTCAAGAGAATGGCTGATGAAAGATCCTATGTCTGGCAACAGGACTCTGCACCATGCCACATCACCAGGAGAACTTCTGCGACCACATCACACCTTAGATCTGGCAACATAACTCCCCAGACAGTAACCCCCTTGATTATTACGTGTGGGCGACCGGCCAACAAAACTCTTTGTAACACCAAAGATGAACAGAAGGCAAATATTCTGACAACAACTTAAACAATGGGAACGTCCGTAAGTGTTGCAGGAGATTCCGAAGTCGTCTGGAAGGCCGTAGTTGAAGCCAATGGCAGGTTTTGAATTCAGAGTTGTCCTTCTCCTAGACCAGTTGCTATACAAGGCTATAGGACCAGTCTGTCCCGCTATTTACCCATAGCTGGGGGGAGAAGAAGAGGATTCATACCTTTCGCAAGGGTTTTAGCACGTGAGGGATTCCACTGAAATTCGAATTCGGCTCACCGATTCCACACTCCGAGCCGCTATCCACTACTCCGCTGTGACTCTGTCTCTTTCCCTCTCTCTCTGTCTCTCTCTCTCTCTCTGTCTCTCTCTCTCTGTCTCTCTATCTCTCTTTATATATATATATATATATATATATATATATATATATATATATGTTTGTATGCTCTGCTTTTGTATCGAGCACTATTTTTTTAAAAATAATAACAAAAATAAAGAACTTTGGATTATTTACCTAGCTATTTTCTCTATATTTTACACACACACACACACACACACACACACACACACACACATATATATATATATATATATATATATATATATATTAAGTATATAATATCTATATTTTTATGCTTACCTCAGTCTGTTCGTTATCTATCTATCTGTTTATCTATCTCAGTCAGTTAGTATCTATCTATTTATTTGCTTGCCTCTAATTCCCAGTTTATTCAAAAAATAACGACCAAACATGTTTATGCAATTTTTCCTCTTTTGTATTCATATGTTTGTCTAACCTCTTTGTCAATAGTTGTCAGTCTTGCCGATTCGTTTACATTCAATCTCTTCACTGCACTTTTCTTGCTTTCTAGAGACTTCCTTCACGTAATCTGAAACCACTACGTCTTCTCTTTCAAACAACCCAACAGAAACCTCTTTCAGTTTATCATTTCGCCGAAAAATATAATCAAAATATTTACTTTTTTGTATTATCCGTTCGTTTATTCTTTATTCTTGATTTTTTTTTTTTTTAAGAATAAAACAAATATTTTGATCTTTGGTTTAAATCTTCCCAGGCTGAACATTTCTCTCTTCATATTTACTTTTCTGTTGAAAACCAACGGTTTTCTTACGTTTCCCTTACATTTTATTGTAAATCGTTTAAGTGTCTGTGAAAAGGAGAATATAAAAAGACATTTAAATAAAGCCTACTTGAAGATGATATATGTTTGTGACTTTTTTCTGCGATAAATATTTAGGTTACATTCGATATATTCATACATGATATATTGAAAATATATTAGAATTAAGAGAGGAATATATGATATTATTCAGTCATGCTAGCTCGGACATTCGTGACACCATCACGTCAAACATCACTGTCCTGTAGCTAGGTCAGAATGTCATTACGGGTCAATGTACGTGTTTTCTGGGTGACCAACAGGTCTTGCACCATGTGTAGGTGTCCGGACCATTAAATCACTCGATATTCCTTGGTTTGTGTCCTAAAAAGCGCATTCAGCGTTCGTGTAAAATTGTAGAAATATCAGAGATGAAGCCATAGAGCTGTGCATAAGCTTGATGTTGTCCCTAAGAGATGTTATGTATAGACCTCATCATCTGAGTGTAGGTTCCGTCAAGCTTAGATTCAACGGTTTTAGTGAATGTCCTGGCAGTGGTACCATACATTAACTCCTACTCTACAGTGGTTCGAAAGATTCTCTGTCTGGTAGATCAGATTTCTAGATTAACATCCATATTATTCAAGACGGCCCAGTCTTAAGCTAAACGAATTTTCACATTCTTTTCCGTAGAATTCATCATAAAGACTGATAAAAAGCTAGGTTATTGGTCATTTTGAGAATATTACGTTATTTTCAATATTTATTCTATCCTCAGTCAATATACCCTTCGGTTCAAATGTTTGAAAAAAAAAACCAGAATTATTATGGGGTGAATTTGAGAGAATAATAATAATAAAAAAAAATGAAAAAGCTCTTAGAGTCATTGAAATAGGAATGGAATCAGTTATCAAACGTATGCATTGAGAATTTTTTGCAACGAATGCGAAACATCTGTGTGGCAGTAATCAAGGCTAAAGAAGGATAATTTGACGAGAGCAAAATTTAATCATAAAATTCTTATTTCTTTTGTCATATAATTTCTATTAAAAAAAAATTCATGTTTCACTTTTTTAACCATGAATAATAATTTTCTCTTTTTTAAAATACAATACAACTATATTTTGTGCCTATTTAAGAAATTATCAGGGTTAACCTCAAACATTTGAACTATATATATATATATATATATATATATATATATATATATATATATATATATATATATATATAAAACCGTAGGTAAGTAATCCAAGTAGGCCCTATTAATAAAAAATATTAAAACTGATCCACAAAAGATTGCTCAATATACGTCGAGTCCATCGGAGCAAACGGCGTGTTCTCTTGGAAAGATGGATATTTCGAATTCTGCCTGGAGGTGCATTTTTTTAAAAATAAGTGAGTGTGTAGGTTGAAGGACGGAATAACATAGAGTTTCAAATACTGTTTAGATGAAGCTTTTACTCAAACAAGAGTTTTCACTAAAAATAACGTTTAAACTAATAAAAGTATATCGGATTAAATCAAAATCCATATATATATATATATATATATATATTATACTTTCACGGAAATTGTTCTGATGGTCTTTCCTCCATGGTATCTAGACTTCATGAATTTAAGCTCAGTAATAGTTTGGCGGTAAGGTGGTTTAACAGTTGAAATGGCAAGATGTAACCGTAAGTTCTATGTCAACAGTTTCTTCTTTCAAACTTATCGCCTGTGGAACACTCTTTTAGCTTCTAGATTCCCAGTCACAATTATACTTCAAAATTTTATATACAATGCCAGTTAGTATCTTCTGTCTTCTTGATTCCTTGATTTCCATCTTCGTGGTTTTATTGCTTTGCTTGGAATGAAATGATTAAAAAATAATATATATATATATAAAATATAATATATATATATATAAAAACTACTAATTAAAATATTTTAAAGTTGTAATTAAAATTGTAGTACATTAAAATGAATTCTAACCTAAACTTCTTTTAAACTGTAATTAAATAAATAAATAAAGTTTACTAAATCAGGGAAATGAAAATTTTACTTTAGTAATATTTAAATATAAAATTTTAAAAATCGTAATATACTTGATGTGATAATAATTCTACAAACTGCAAGGGATTCTAATTACATTTAATTGTGCTTGAAAGAATTATAGTATAATAAAAATTAAAAGTAAAAATATTTCAAATCGTAGTTAAATAAAAAGTATTCTTACCTAAACACCCCCCCCAAAAAAAATCTTTAAATATACGAAGAAAAAATGCCGTAAGAATTTTAGCCGTTAACAATATAATTTTTAAAAAAATCCAGACGACACGTTTTTAACGGATGTTAGATTTCATTGAAAAATACATCCCTACCGACTACCAAAACGTAGCAATAACTGATACATTAAAATAGAGACATTGAACACCCAGACACCCCTGTATAGCAAAATAGATTTATCTGTAACCCTGGAAAAATGAATTTTGTTTTAGCTGTGTATTTAAAACCCAGTAATTTTAAAAGATACTCCAAAATTCGCTTGAGGATGAAATGGAACTAATGTCTTTAATTTAATTACAAAATTAAATTAGGAGCTTTTAGATTCCATTTTTGAAACATGGTTAGAACTGTGTAGCGAAAAAAAAACATATTTTAAATCAATTAATTTATAATATATATATATATATATATATATATATATATATATATATATATATATATATTAGAGTCCGATGAAAATAAGTGGATACAACGTCTAAAAACAAAATACCCAGCCCGGCTAAATCATAAATTTAACAATATATAGATAGTAATAATATATAACTCAACAAATCAAAACCTACCCACATTTCTCACCCAAACAAGATAGACATGCTTACGGAGGTGTGGAGGCCTCACACTTATACACTCACTCACACGAATATACACGATTACACACATCATACTCACTCACTCCCTAATGAGCCAAATGATAACACACACCTACAGCAATACATACGCTTACACATATCATACTCACTCACTCCCTAAGAACCAAATAACACACACACAAACACTAAACAGAGTCACATCCCCTCACCATGTCCAATAAAACTATCAAACTGACCAGAGAATTCAGAATAACATGTATCTATCCAGCTCTTATCTCAAATAACAACTTAAAAGAGACTGTTTGACCAACACAAGGAATGTTAAAAAATTCATGTTAAAAAGATAAAAAAATAAAAAAATAAAAAAACAAATGAAAACTAATTTCATTTTCTCCAACAAAAGACATTCATTTCTGTAGTTCACTGCTACCAGCAAGCAGAAATATTTCTCCTTCCGATGATGGCCATTTCGGTCGAAACTAGTCGAGGAATCTAAATGGAATAATAATAATAAAAAAAAAACGAAAGAATATTAATCTACAACCCAGTGTGTCTAAAGATTTAAATTTTTTTATTTTCTAATTTTTTAATTTTTTTTATTGTTCAATATATATATATATATATATATATATATATATGGGGGAGGGGGGCATGATACCAATACAATTATAGGCAAACAATATTTATGTGTAAAAGTGCTGAATATCAAGGATAGAGCGTATGTCAAATATAAAAGTGAACACTGAAGACAGCAACGAGAACTGAGAGCCTTTTCTAATCAAAAATTGTTCTGTTCATCTAAAAGAAAAATATGTTTTTTTCCCGTGTGAAGTGAAAACTCTAAGATTATGTACTGCATAAATAAATAAATTTTAAATTTATCATGTGCGGAGGTCAAGGGAGATAACTAAGTTATAGTAATGTCTAAAATTAAAAAAAAAAAATGATGAACACAAAATTTTTTAGTCTTAGAAAAAAGAAGACCGTGATGACGACATTTTATTACATCGTCATCACGGTCTTGTCTGTCTGACCACGAAATAAAATGAATATGCATCAACATGTTAATTTTCTTTCTTCCTTTAATAAGGATACGAAGAAACTTGTCCGTAAATACGAGAGGATCCTATTAAAAATAAGTAGACAAAACCTGTCAAAAGTATTTATTGAAACACACATATATAGAAAGAGAGAGAGAGAGCAGTGAATGCTGTACAATTCTCTTAAAGATTAAGAGACTTGAAGCAGCAGAAATATGGTACTACAGAAGCATGCTGAGGATAGCATAAACGGAACATGTGACCAACGACGAGGTTTTAGAAAAAATGGAAACGAAGAGAATACATATACTTATGATCACAATGCAGTAATTTTAAATTTGGGTGCAGACAACGAGGAAGGAGAGCTTAGAAAATCTGATACTCATAGGGACATATTAAATGCAGGAGAAACAGAGGAACACATCGTATTACCTACCTGGCGAATTTGTGCAAATGGTTGGCAAACATAGATAGATAGATAGATAGATAGATAGATAGATGTCAGCTTGAACGAAAAAAATGCAGTTATTATTAAATAGATTTGAAATTAATGCATACAGAAATTCACATCTCTAGCATTACTCCTTCATAGTTAGCCTATGAACTTTTCAGCCAACCTTCGTACCTGGATATAAACAATGCAGTTATTAGTATAAAATTTTGAAATGAATGCATGCAAGATTTCATAGGTCTAGCATCACACATTCATAGTCAGCCTATGAAATTTTCAGCCAACCCTCGTACCTAGGAAAGAAAAGATAAAGATATAAGTATGGACATTTGAAATGAATGCATGAAAGATTTTATAGGTCTAGCATCACACCTTCATAGTCAGCCTATGAACTTTTCAGCCCAGCCTCGTACCTAGAAAGAAATAATGCAGTTATTAGGATAGAAATTTCAAATGAATGCATGTAAGATTTTATAGGTCTAGCATTACACCTTCATAGTCAGCCTATGAACATTTCAGCCCTCCCTCGTACCACGAAAGAAACAATGCAGTTATTAGTATGGAAATTTGGAATGAATGCATGCAAGATTTCATAGGTCGGGCATCACACCTTCATAGTCAGCCTATGAATTTTTCAGCCCAACTCGTACCTGGAAAGAAATAATGCATTAGTATGGTCATTTGAAATGAATGCATGCAAGATTTTATAGGTCTAGCATCACTCCTTCATAGTCAGCCTATGAAATTTTCAGCCCAGCCTCGTACCTAGAAAGAAACAATGCAGTTATTAGTATGGAAATTTGAAATGAATGCATGCAAGATTTCATAGGTCGGGCATCACACCTTCTTAGTCAGCCTATGAATTTTTCAGCCAACCCTCGTAACTAGGAAAGAAAAAATAAAGTTACAAGTATGGACATTTGAAATGAATGCATGAAAGATTTTATAGGTCTAGCATCACACCTTCATAGTCAGCCTATGAACTTTTCAGCCCAGCCTCGTACCTAGAAAGAAATAATGCAGTTATTAGTATGGACATTTGAAATGAATGCATGCAAGATATTATAGGTCTAGCATCACACCTTCATAGTCAGCCTATGAATTTTTACCCCACCCTCGTACCTGGAAAGAAATAATGCATTAGTATGGACATTTGAAATGAATGCATGCAAGATTTTATAGGTCTAGCATCACTCCTTCATAGTCAGCCTATGAACTTTTCAGCCCTCCCTCGTACCTCGAAAGAAACAATGCAGTTATTAGTATGGAAATTTGAAATGAATGCATGCAAGTTTCCACAGTTCTAGCATCACACCTTCATAGTCAGCCTATGAATTTTTTAGCCCACCCTCGTACCTGGAAAGAAATAATGCATTAATATAGACATTTGAAATGAATGCATGAAAGATTTTATAGGTCTAACATCACTCCTTCATAGTCAGCCTGTGAACCTTTCAGCCCAGCCTCGTACCTAGAAAGAAATAATGCAGTTATTAGTATAAAATTTTGAAATGAATGCATGCAAGATTTTATAGGTCAAGCATCACTCCTTCATAGTCAACCTATGAACTTTTCATTCTAGCCCCGTACGTAGAAAGAAATAATGCAGTTATAAATAAGAAAAGTTGAAATGAATGCATGCAAAATTTCACAGCTGTAGCATCACTCCTTCATAGTCAGCCTATGAACTTTTCAGCCCAGCCTCGTACCTGGAAAGAAATTATAAAGGTATTCGTATAAAAATTTGAAATGAATGCATGCAAGATTTCATAGTTCTAGCATCACACCTTCATAGTCAGCCTATGAACTTTTCCCCTACCCTCATACCTGGAAAGAAATAATGCTGTTATAAATAAGAAGAGTTGAAATGAATGCATGAAATATTTCACGGCTCTAGCTTCACTCCTGAGCCCATGAATTTTTCATCTTATTTTTCTCATAATTTATTGATAGGCAATTTAGTTTCTTTATTTAACTATAAACATTGAATATTATATAAATGAATGGACAAACTAGTCTTTACTATCTAAAGAGATATATTATAAATTTAATAATCCAGTGGACAGTGTGTGACATTACTATCGACAAATGCATACTATTCCCTGTTTGGTACGTAATTGCGTTATAGCAGAGAATATATAAAAATATAAGTAAAATTTGTTCAAATTATAAAATATGTAATCACCTTCATTTTCAGTGACCGGAGACCAACAAGAAGGCTAATTTTCCGTTGCATATTCCATTGTATATTGCAATTAATGAAATGTTGTTTTAATGGAAAGAAATGAAAATGTCTCGATGCTAAATCTGGTCAGTACAGAGGATGTAGAAGAAAAGCTTATCCTAAAGGTTTTAATTTTCTAGTTTTTCTCAGGTAATTTCTGTCGAGTGTGTCTTTACCATTTTATGGATGGAGATCAAAACTTTTTTTTTCTGTTTACCAAACTAGGAAACCTTCAACGTAATGTTTGTTTACCCATTAAACGTTCGTGTTAAAGGTCCTTCCATGTTCCAAAGATCGTAATGGACGACACCTTTCTTATTCCAATATGCATAAAGCAAGGATTTATATGGATGGAATTCTGGATTTGATGAGACAGGCCATGGGCTATCCAGACGACAGGGCTCCCATCTCGGTCGTACCGACAAGATCCAAAAGAAGAGAAACATAGGGCATCATATTTGGGTCCGACTTGGCTGAAGTAACTAGAGAAACGTTTTCACTGTTGACAGCCAAAATATTTCGTGACTAAACTCCGGATTTTCTGTTTGGATTTACTTCCATAGCGGTTTCCTTTTTGGGATATAATCTCCAAGCAACTGTAGTTTAAAATCAGTTTCCAGTTCTTCCCCTGGAAGAACTAAAGAATAACACTATAAAGAAGACAGGACAATAGAAGTAATACGAAGACAAAAGGTAACGATTGACATTGCATTTAAATTTTTGAATATATATATATATATATATATATATATATATATATATATATATATATATGTATGTATGTATGTATGACATAATGATATATATTTTAAACATCAAAGAAATTGTAAGACAAAATGGAAAAAGTTTGTTTGTGACGCGTTTCATCCGTTAAGTTTTTTGTTGCTACGTGCGTGAACGAGAGATGCTTGTAGTTTAAAAGTTTTGTTTTTTTAATAATTATTGCAGTATAGCCAAGTTCATTTATATTCTTTTTTTTTTTTTTCCTACTCTTTGCTTTTAGATATCTCACATTGTGATAACAGAATATATATATATATATATATATATATATATATATATATATATATATATATATATATATGTCCAAATAAAAAAGAACAGTCAGGTTTAGAGTCCACAGTTCTTTAAAAAAAAATTTTTTAAAAAAAGCTCGATACAACGTAGACCATAATATAATATTTTTACTAAAATATATTTTACATGGGAATCTGGAATGTAAAATATTTTTTAAATAAAAATATTATATATATATATATATATTTACACGGATATCATGTGACTTTTGAATACCTAATTTAGAAGCGTTTTTTGAGGGGTATCGCATCATACAGAATATATAAATTTAGTATATATTGCTGACCCCTGCTATGCCGTTGACAAAACTATATTTCATTTTACTATAATCAAATTAGCTTCAAAAGTAGGTCTTCAAAGGTCGCCTGATCGTTCGCCTCTCCAGCCCTCTTCCTTTTCAGTTAATTAGATCTCCCGAAATTTCAATGCAATGTCAATCATCAATTTTTAATTTTTGTTCGCTTCTTTTTCTCGCTGCTTCACAATATTTGTGTATTTTTTTTTATTTCAAACTCAGTAAAACTTTCTGCTTTAGATGCTTCGTTGCGTTGTTTGTGGTGAAATGATAAATCTATCTATCTATCTATCTATCTATCTATCTATCTATCTATCTATCTATCTATCTTAGTCTGTTCAGATCTATCTATCTATCTATCTATCTATCTCAGTCGTTTCATATCTATTTACGTTAATTTATTGTTTCTATCTGTCTATATCAATTCATTATCTATCACCCTGACTATCTCTCAGTCGAAATTAATTATCTATCTCAATTCTTTATCTATCTATCTATCTATCTTAGTCTGTTCAGATCTATCTATCTATCTATCTATCTATCTATCTATCTATCTATCTATCTATCTCAGTCGTTTCATATCTATTTATGTTAATTCACTGTTTCTATCTATATCAATTCATTATCTATCACCCTGACTATCCCTCAGTCTAAATTAATTATCTATCTCAATTCCTTTATCTATCTATCTATCTATCTATCTATCTATCTATCTATCTATCTTAGTCTGTTCAGATCTATCTATCTATCTATCTATCTATCTATCTATCTATCTATTATTTTTAAAGGTATGTTTGTGTTTATGCATGTGGTTCAATGTACGTAATTATCTATGCATTTGAAAGTGATTTTTCGCGACAGATAAGTAAATGTTCTCTTACTGTAAGGTATCCATTAGCTAGAAGACCTCATTGTTTTCTTCTGTCTCCTTCCAGGTCTCTTCCTTTCTTCCGGTACCAATTACGCATTTGTTTTTCGTCGCCGCTGCTTTCTATATTTTTTGTGTATTACGCTTCATTTACGTTCTTTCCCTCAGTTATATTTACACTGCTCATATATATATATATATATATATATATATATATATATTGTTTATTTAGGCTTACACATCAACAGAGTATTCTTCTCTCCCCCATCCTCTCTCGCTTCTTTCTTTCTTTAAATCTATCTATCTATCTATCTATCTATCTATCTATCTATCTATCTATCTATCTATCTCGCTGTTCCGACGTCATCTCGCCTACCTTTTTTGTCTTTTAATTTTACTTTGCAAAGAATTTTTTCTTCTCTGTTAGTTTTCATAGCGGTGGCGGCTACTGAGAGCCGAGATTCTGGCGAGGAGCAGGCGGTGACGGCCGTGGGGGTCGGGGAAAAGCGACGTTTTAAACAGGAAAAGATAAATCTAGGAGAAGTTTATTTATAAAACGTTTAAATTCAATTACTGACAAGCCCATTTAGCAAGCAAGGCGGGCGGTTTTTCATTGATGCAAGGGGTAAGGGGTGTTCTATATAAGTGCCGTTGATCACACAGACATAAACACACTGAAATTTACCGGGGGTGCCTATTGCATAGAATACAATGTATGGAGCAACGGAGGTTGTGAGATGTAAGGGTGGTTGTCGCGTAAAGAGAATAGCATATAAGCAGGCGGGAAAAGATAGAAATACAAGATGGGGAAAAGACAAAGTGGTGGTGGAAAAAAGGTGACGTTTTAGCGATCAAAAGTATAGCAAGTGGGAGATTGGATTAAAATATCATTGCTCACTGCTAACTAGATTACAGGAGCCAAGTACAAGTGTTCACTGCCATTACAGATAGTGTATCTTCTGTTGGCTCGCTGATGAAGGGGCCCGGGGCTTCGTTTCGCGAACACCTCTGATAGCGCTAAGAATAGGCAGTCGGTACGCCAAGCGAAGAAGTAAGCTGAGAGAAAAAGGGTAAAATAAAAATGAACAAAACCACATTGGCAAAGCAATGTAAGAGCAAAGCTTTCCTCTGCTCAGTTAAGCTAAGGAGAATTATTTTGCGCGGGAAATTTCTCCCAAAGCTAAAGTGAAAGTAGAAACGAAAGTGAAAGTGGAACTATAGTAATGTAAAGTAATAAAAACACCATGGTAATATAAGTAAAAAACAAAAAAAAAAGAAAATAAAAAGTAAGAATTCAGCTTTGACAATGCACTTTTGGTAATGTTTTGTCATTAAAGCTAGACTTTTATTAGAGGTATTAACTTCGTTTTCTTTCATGACGAAGTTAAACAAAGTGGTAAATGTTGTGTTTACACACACACACACACACATACACACACACATGTGTGTGTAAGAATGTGTGTCTGCTAGTTGATTTTACACCATGTCAATTTTTATTTCTTTGGTTATCGAATATTTGCATGCTGCCATAGCGAGAATTGAACTCAATACATGATTAACAAGCCCAAACTAAATAACCGTTCACCCACGCTGTGTACTTTTTCCTTTGAAGGTTTGGTCTAAAATGATTCCCTTTCTTTCAGCATCTCACCATGGGTACTTCACGTTTTCTCGTATCATATTCATTGTTCCTTTACTTTTCTTTTCTTTTCTTTTCTTCTTTCTATTTTTTCTTGTTTTTTTTTCTTCTTTTTCCTTCTATTACCTCTTTCTGTTTCCGTTCTTCTTCTTTTACTTCTTTCTATTCTATTTTCTCTTCTTGTTTTTTTCTTCCTCTTTCTCTTTCTTTTTTCCTCTTTCTCATTGTTATTCTTCTTCTTTTTTTCTTTCAATTCTTTCTCTTCTTGTTTTTTCTTCTTTTCTCTCTTTCTTTTTCCTCTTTCTTATTTCCGTTCTTCTTCTTTTACTTCTTTCAATTCTTTCTCTTCTTGTTTTTTTTCTTCCTCTTTCTCTCTTTCTTTTTCCTCTTTCTCATTTCCGTTCTTCTTCTTCTTTTATTTCTTTATATTCTTTCTCTTCTTGTTTTTTTTTCTTCCTCTTTCTCTCTTCCTTTTTCCTCTTTCTCATTTCCGTTCTTCTTCTTCTTTTATTTCTTTCTATTCTTTCTCTTCTTGTTTTTCTTCCTCTTTCTCTCTTTCTTTTTCCTCTTTCTCATTTCCGTTCTTCTTCTTTTACTTCTTTCTATTCTTTCTCTTCTTGTTTTTTTTCTTCCTCTTTCTCTCTTTCTTTTTCCTCTTTCTCATTTCCGTTCTTCTTCTTCTTTTACTTCTTTCTATTCTTTCTCTTCTTGTTTTTTTTTCTTCCTCTTTCTCTCTTTCTTTTTCCTCTTTCTCATTTCCGTTCTTCTTCTTTTACTTCTTTCTATTCTTTCTTCTTGTTTTTTTTTTTTTTCTCTCTTTCCTTTTCCTCTTTCTCATTTCCGTTTCTTCTTCTTTTTTTACTTCTTTCTATTCTTTCTCTTCTTGTTTTTTCCTCTTTTCTCTCTTTCTTTTTCCTCTTTCTCATTTCCGTTCTTCTTCTTTTACTTCTTTCTATTCTTTCTCTTCTTGTTTTTTCCTCTTTTCTCTTTCTTTTTCCTCTTTCTCATTTCCGTTCTTCTTCTTCTTTTACTTCTTTCTATTCTTTCTCTTCTTGTTTTTTCTTTCCTCTTTCTCTCTTTCTTTTTCCTCTTTCTCATTTCCGTTCTTCTTCTTCTTTTACTTCTTTCTATTCTTTCTCTTCTTGTTTTTTTTCTTCCTTTTCTCTCTTTCCTTTTTTTCTTTTCTATTTCCGTTCTTCTTCTTCTTTTACTTCTTTCTATTCTTTCTCTTCTTGTTTTTTTTTTCCTTCTTTCTCTCTTTCTTTTTCCTCTTTCTCATTTCCGTTCTTCTTCTTCTTTTACTTCTTTCTATTCTTTCTCTTCTTGTTTTTTTTCTTCCTTTCTCTCTTTCTTTTTCCTCTTTCTCATTTCCGTTCTTCTTCTTTTTTACTTCTTTCTATTCTTTCTCTTCTTGTTTTTTTTCTTCCTCTTTCTCTCTTCCTTTTTCCTCTTTCTGTTTTTTTTTCTTCTTCTTTCTTTCTTTTTCTCATTTCTTTCTTCTTCTTTTTTGTTTTTTTCTTCCTTTTTTTTCTCTTTCTTTTCCTCTTTCTCATTTCCGTTCTTCTTCTTCTTTTACTTCTTTCTATTCTTTTCTTCTTTTTTTTTTTCTTCCTCTTTCTTTCTTTTTTCCTCTTTCTCATTTCCTTCTTCTTCTTTTCTCTTCTTTCTATTCTTTTTCTTTTTTTTCTTCCTTTTTCTTTCTTTTTCCTCTTTTCTCATTTCTTCTTCTTCTTCTTTTACTTCTTTCTATTCTTTCTCTTCTTTTTTTTTCTTCCCTTTTCTCTTCCTTTTCCTCTTTCTCATTTCCGTTCTTCTTCTTTTTTTCTTTCTTTTTCTTTCTCTTCTTGTTTTTTCTTCCTCTTTCTCTCTTTCTTTTTCCTCTTTCTCATTTCCGTTCTTCTTCTTCTTTTACTTCTTTCTATTCTTTCTCTTCTTGTTTTTTTTTTTCCTCTTTCTCTCTTTCTTTTTCTTTTTCTTTTTCCTTTCTTCTTCTTCTTTTCTTCTTTCAATTCTTTCTCTTCTCCTTCTTTTTTCTTCTCCCTTTTCTCTCTTTTTTTCCTCTTTCTCATTTCCGTTCTTCTTTTCTTTTACTTCTTTCTATTCTTTTCTCTTCTTGTTTTTTTTCTTCCTCTTTCTCTTTTTTTTCCTCTTTCTCATTTCGTTCTTCTTCTTTTTTCTTCTTTCAATTCTTTCTCTTCTTTTTTTTCTTCCTCTTTTTCTCTTTCTTTTTTTTTCCTCTTTTCTTTTCTTCTTTTCTTTCTCTTCTTTCTATTCTTTCTTTCTTTTTTTCTTTCTTTCTTCTTGTTTTTTTTTTTCTTTTTCATTCTTTTTCTTCTTCTTTCTTTCCTTTTTTTTCTTTTCTTTCTTTCTTTTTTTTCTTTTTCCTCTTTTTATTTCTTTTCATTTTTTCTTTTTTCATTTTTTTTTCTTTTCTTCTTTTCTCTTTCTCTTTTCTTTCTTCTTCTATTTTTTTCTTCTTTTTTTTCTCTCTTTCTTTTTCCTCTTTCTCATTTCCGTTCCTCTTCTTCTTTTACTTTTTTCTATTCTTTCTCTTCTTGTTTTTTTTTTTCCTTTTTCTCTTTCTTTTTCTCTCTTTCTCTTTTCCGTTCTTCTTCTTCTTTTCCTTTTCTTTCTTTTCTTCTTGTTTTTTCTTCTTTTTCTCTCTTCTCTCTCTTTCTTTCTTTTCATTGTTTTCTTCTTCTTTTTTCTTTCTATTCTTTCTCTTCTTGTTTTTTTTTTTCCCCTTTTCTTTTTTCTCTTCTTTTCTTCTTCTTTTTCTTTTTTTCTATTCTTTCTCTTCTTGTTTTTTTCTTTTCTTTCTCTCTTTCTTTTTCCTCTTTCTCATTTCGTTCTTCTTCTTCTTTTTCTTCTTTCTATTCTTTTCTCTTCTTTTTTTTTTTTCCTCTTTCTTTTTTTCCTCTTTCTCTTTCTGTTCTTCTTCTTCTTTTCTTCTTTCTATTCTTTCTCTTTTCCTTTTTTTTTTCTCTTTCTTTTTTTCTTTTCTCTTTCTTTTTCCTTTTCTTCTTCTTTTATTTTTCTTTTCTTTTCTTTTCTCTTCTTGTTTTTTTTCCTCTTTCTTTTCTTTTTTTCCTCTTTTTTTTTTCTTCTTTTTCTTTTTACTTCTTTTCTTTTCTTTTCTTTTTTTTTTTTTTCTTCCTCTTTTCTCTCTTCTTTTTCCTCTTTCTCATTTCGTTTTTCTTCTTCTTCTTTTCTTTTTATTCTTTCTCTTTTTCTTTTTTTTCTTCCTCTTTCTTTTTCTTTTCTTTTCCTCTCTTTCCTTTTCTTCTTTCCTTTTCTTTCTTTCCTTCTTTTTTTTTCTTTTCCTCTCTCTCTTTCTTTTCCTTTTTCTCATTTCCTTTTTCTCTTTTTCTTTTCTTTTCTTTCTTTTCTTCTTTTTTTTCTTCCTCTTTCTCTCTTCCTTTTTTTTTTCTCATTTCCTTTCTTCTTCTTTTTCTTTTACTTCTTTCTCTTCTTTTTCCTTTCTTCTTTTTTTTTCTTTCCTCTTTCTTTTCCATTTTTTTCTTCTTCCTTTTCTATTCTTTTTCTTGTTTTTTTCTTCTTTTTTCTTTCTTTTCTCTTTCTTTTCTCTTCTTCCTTCCTTTTTGTTTTTTTTTTCTCTTTCTTTTCTTTTTTCTCATTTCGTTCTTCTTCTTTTTTACTTCTTTCTTTTTTTTCTTCTTTTTTTTTTCTTCCTCTTTCTCTCTTTCTTTTCCTCTTTCATTTTTTCTCTTTCTTCTTTTTACTTCTTTTTCAATTCTTTCTCTTCTTGTTTTTTTCTTCCTTTTTCTTTCTTTTTTTTCTCTTTCTTTCTTCTTTCTTTTTCTTCTTTTTTTTTTTCTCTTTTTTTCTCTTCTTCTCTTTTTTTCTTCTTTTCTTTCTTTCTTTTTCCTCTTTTCATTTCTTGTTTTTTCTTCTTTTTTTCTTCTTTCCTTTTTTCATTTTTCTTTTTTTTTTTTTCTTTTTCTTTCTTTTTTTCCCTCTTTCATTTTCTTTTTTCTTCTTTTCTTTTTTCTTTCTTTTTCTCTTCTTGTTTTTTTTTTTTCCTTTTCTCTCTTCTTTTTTCCTCTTTCTTCTTTTTAATTCTTCTTCTTTCTTTCTTTTTCAATTCTTTTTTCTTCTTTTTTTTTTTCCTTTTCTTTTTTTCTTTTTCTTTTTCCTCTTTTTCTTTTTCTTCTTTTTTTCTTTTCCTTCTTTTCTTTCTCTTTTTTCTTTTTTTTTTCTTCCTCTTTCTCTTTCCTTTTCCTCTTTCTCATTTCCTTTTATTTCTTCTTCTTTTTCTTTCTTCTTTCTTTCTCTTTCTTTTTTTTTCTTTTTCTTTTCTTTTTTCCTCTTTCTCATTTTTCTTCTTCTTCTTTTCTTTTCTTTCTTTCTTTCTCTTCTTGTTTTTTTTTTTTCTTTTTTTCTCTTTTTTCTTTATCTTCTTTCTCTTTTCTTTTTTCTTCTTTCTCTCTTTTTTTTTCTTTTTCTCATTTTTCTTCTTCTTTCTTTCTTTCTTTTTGTTTCCTCTTCTTTCTCTTTCTTTTCTCTCTTTCTTTCTCATTTCTTTTTCTTCTCTTTCTTTCTTCTTTTTCCTTCTTTTCTCTTCTTTTTCCTTTTTCTCTTCTCTTTTTTTTTTTCCTTTTTTTTCCTTTCTTTTTCTTTTCCTTTCTTTTTGAATTCTTTCTCTTCTTCTTTTTTTTCTTTTTCCTTTCTCTCTTTCTTTTTCCTTTTCATTTCCGTTCTTCTTTTCTTTTACTTCTTTCTATTCTTTTCTTTCTTCTTTTTTTCTTCTCTTCCTCTTTCTCTCTTTTCTTTTTCCATCTTTCTCTTTTATTTCTTTTATTCTTTCTTCTTCTTTTTTTTTCCTCTTTCTTTCTTTTTCCTCTTTCTCTTCTTTTCTTTTTCTTCTTTTCCTCTATTTTTCTTTTTTATTTTTCCTTTTCTTTTTTTCTCTTTTTCTCATTTAAATTCCTTCTTCTTGTTTTTTCTTTCTTTTCTATTTTTCTCTTCTTTGTTTTTTTTCTTCCTCTTTCTTTCTTTCTTTTCCTCTTTCTCATTTCTTTTTCTTCTTCTTCTTTTTTTCTTTCAATTCTTTCTTCTTTTTTTTTTTTTTCCTCTTTCTCTCTTTCTTTTCCTCTTTTTCATTTCCGTTCTTCTTCTTCTTTTCTTCTTTCAATTCTTTTCTCTTCTTGTTTTTTTTCCTCTTTCTCTCTTTCTTTTTCCCTCTTTCTCATCCATAGTTTCTTCTTTCTTTTATTTCTTTTTCATTCTTTTTCTTTTGTTTTTTTCTTCTCTCTTTCTCTCTTTTTTTTTCCTCTTTCTCATTTCTTTTTCTTTTCTTTTTTTTTTTTTTCTTTCTCTTCTTTTTTTTTCTTTTCCTCTTTTCTTTTCTTTTCCTCTTTTCTCATTTCCGTTCTTCTTCTTTTTTCTTCTTTCTATTTTTCTCTTTTTGTTTTTTCTTCCTCTTTCTCTCTTTCTTTTTCCTCTTTCTCATTTTCCCTTCTTCTTCTTTTCTTTTTTTCTTCTTTCCTTCTTTCTCTTTTTTTTTTTTTCTTTCTCTCTTTTCTTTTCCTCTTTTCATTTCCGTTCTTCTTCTTTTTTCTTTTTTTTTCTTTCTCTTCTTTTTTTTTTTTCTCTTTCTCTCTTTCTTTTTTCCTCTTTCTCATTTCGTTCTTCTTCTTCTTTCCTTCTTTTCAATTCTTTCTCTTCTTTTTTTTTCTTGAATTTTTCTCTTTTCTTTTCCTTTTCTCATTTCCTTTCTTCTTCTTTTACTTTTTTTTTTTCTTTCTCTTTTTTTTTTTTCCTCTTTCTCTTTTTCTTTTCCTCTTTCTCATTTCCTTTTCTTCTTCTTTTTTAGAAAATTCTTTCTCTTCTTGTTTTTTTTCCTCTTTTCTCTTTTTTTTCCTCTTTTCTCATTTTTTCTTTTCTTCTTTCTTTTTTTCTTTTTTTTCATTTTTCTTTTCTTTCCTTTTTCTCTTTTTCTTTTTTCTTTTCTTTTTCCTCTTTCTCTTTTTGTTTCTTCTTCTTTTCCTTCTTTCAATTCTTTCTCTTCTTGTTTTTTCTTTCTCTTTTTCTTTCTTTCTTTTCCTCTTTCTTTTTTTTTTTCTTCTTTCTTTTTTCTTTCTTATTCTTTTCTTCTTTGTTTTTTTTTTTTTCTTCCTTTTTTCTCTCTTTCTTTTCCTCTTTTTCTTTTCATTCTTCTTCTTCTTTTACTTCTTTCTTTTCTCTTTCTCTTCTTTTTTTTCTTTTCTTTCTCTCTCTTTTTTTCCTCTTTTTCTTTTTTTCTCTTCTTCTTCTTTTTTTTAAAAATTTTTTTTCTCTTCTTTTTTTTTTTTTCCTCTTTCTCTTTCTTTTTTTTCTTTTCTTTCTTTCTTTTCTTTTTTTTTCTTTTTTCCTTTCTTTCAATTCTTTTCTTTCTCTTCTTGTTTTTTTTTTTTCTTTCTCTGTTTTTCTTTCTTTTCCTTTTTCTTTCTTTTCCTTTCTTCTTCTTCTTTTTCTTTCTTTTCTTTCTTCTTTTTTTTCTTCCTCATTTCTCTCTTCTTTTCCTCTTTCTCATTTCGTTCTTCTTCTTCTTTTCTTTCTTTCTCTTCTTGTTTTTTCTCTTTTCTCTCTTTTTTTTCTCCAATCTTCCTTTCTTCCTTTTTTCTTTCTTTCTTTTTTTCTCTTCTTTTTTTCTTTTCTTTCTTTCTTTCTTTCTTTTTTTTCTTCTTTTTTTTTTTTCATCTTTCTCTCTTTTTTTTTCTTTTTTTTTTTTTCTTTTTCTTCCACTTCTTTTCTTCTTTTCTTTTCTTTCTTTTTCTTTTTTTTTTTTTTCTTTTCTTTTTTTCTTTTTTTTCTTCTTTCTTTTTCTTTTTTCTTCTTCTTCTTTTTTACTTTTTTCTATTCTTTTCTCTTCTTTTTTTTTCTTCCTCTTTTCTCTTTCTTTTCCTCTTTCTCATTTTTTTTCTTCTTCTTCTTTACTTCTTTTTTTTTCTTTTCTCTTCTTGTTTTCTCTTCCTCTTTCTCTCTTTCTTTTCCTCTTTCTCATTTCGGTTCTTCTTCTTCTTTTACTTCTTTCAATTCTTTTCTCTTCTTTTTTTTCTTCCTCTTTCTCTTTCTTTCTTTCTTTCTCATTTTTCCCTTCTTCTTCTTTTCTTCTTTTCTTTCTTTCTCTTGTTTTTTTTTTTCTTCTTTCTTTTCTTTTTCCTTTTTCTCATTTTCTTTTCTTCTTCTTCTTTTCTTCTTGAAATTCTTTCTCTTCTTCTTTTTTCTTTTCTTTTCTCTTTTCTTTTTCCTCTTTCTCATTTCTTTTTTTTTCTTCTTTTTTCTTCTTTAAATTCTTTCTCTTCTTGTTTTTTTTTTCCTCTTTTCTTTCTTTCTTTTCCTCTTTTCTCATTCTTTTTCTTCTTCTTCTTTTCTTAGAATTCTTTTTTCTTCTTTTTTTTTCTTTTTTTTCTCTTTCTTTTTCCTCTTTCTCTTTTTCTTATTTCTTCTTCTTTTTACTTTCTTTTTCAATTCTTTTCTTTCTTTTTTTTTCTTTCCTTCTTTCTCTCTCTTTCTTTTTTTCCTCTTTCTCATTCTTTTCTTCTTTTTCTGGTTTTTCTATTCTTTCTCTTCTTTTTTTTTTTCTTCTCTTTCTCTCTTTCTTTTTTCCTTTTTCTTTTTCCGTTCTTCTTTTTTTTCTTTCAATTCTTTATTTTCTTTTTTTTTTCTTCCTCTTTCTCTTTCTTTTCCTTTTCTCATTTCTTTTCTTCTTCTTCTTTACTTTAAATATTCTTTTCTTCTTTTTTTTCGCAAATTTTCTTTTCTTTTTCCTCTTTCTCATTTCCGTTTCTTTCTTCTTTTTCACTTTTTTTTTCTTTTCCTTTTCTTTTTTTTTCTTCTCTTTTCTTTTTCTTTTTTCCTCTTTTTCTTCCTTCTTCTTCTTTTTTCTTTCTTTTCAATTCTTTCTCTTCTTGTTTTTTTTCTTTTTTCTCTCTTTCTTTTTTCCTTTTTCTCATTTCCATTTCTTCTTTTTTTCTTCTTTGAATTCTTTCTCTTCTTGTTTTTTTTTTCTTCCTCTTTCTCTCTTTCTTTTCCTCTTTTCATTTTCCGTTCTTCTTCTTTTTACTTTCTATTCTTTTCTCTTCTTTTTTTTTTCCTCTTTCTCTTTTCTTTTTTCTTTCTTTTCTGAAATTTTTCTTCAAAATTTTTACTTCTGATTTTTCTTTCTCTTCCTTTTTTTCTTTTCTTTCTCTCTTTCTTTTTCCTCTTTCTCATTTCGTTCTTCTTCTTTTACTTCTTCTATTCTTTCTCATTTTTTTTCTTCCTCTTTCTCTCTTTCTTTTTCCTCTTTCTCTTTCCGTTCTTCTTCTTCTTTTCTTTCACAATTCTTTTCTTTCTTTTTTTTCTTTCTTTCTTTTTTCTTTTTCTTTTCCTCTTTCTCATTTTTCATTCTTTAATTTTTTTCTTAAAAAAAATTCTTTTTTCTTCATTTGTTTTTTTTTTTTTTTTTTTTCTTTTTTTTCCTCTTTCTCATTTCTTTTCTTCTTCTTTTTTTCTTTCTATTCTTTTCTTCTTTTTTTTCTTGTTTTTCTTTTTCTTTTTCCTTTTTTTTTTCTTTCTTCTTCTTCTTTTACTTCTTTTTCTTTCTCTTCTTCTTTTTTTTTAATTTTTCTCTTTTTCTTTTCCTCTTTTCCTTTTTTTTCTTCTTTTTTTACTTCTTTCAATTTTTTTCTCTTTTTTTTTCTTCCTTTATTCTCTTTCTTTTTCCTCTTTTTTTTTTCGTTCTTCTTCTTTCTTTTTACTTCTTTCTTTCTTTTTCTCTTCTTGTTTTTTTTTTTCCTTCTCTTTCTTTTTCCTCTTTCTCATTTTGTTTCTTCTTTTTTTTTCTTCTTTCTATTCTTTCTCTTCTTTTTTTTTCTTCCTCTTTTCTCTTTCTTTTTCCTCTTTCTCATTTGTTCTTTCTTCTTTTACTTCCTTTCAATTCTTTTCTTTTTTTTTTTTTCTTTTTCTTTCTCTCTTTTTTTTCCCTCTTTTTCATTTCCGTTCTTCTTCTTTTACTTATTTTCTATTTCTTTTCTTCTTTTTTTTTTCTTCCTCTTTCTCTCTTTTCTTTTCCTCTTTCTTTTTCCGTTCTTTTCTTTTACTTTTTTCAATTCTTTCTCTTCTTTTTTTTTTTCTTTTCTCTTTTTTTTTTCTTTTTCATTTCCGTTCTTCTTCTTTTTTACTTCTTTTTTCTTCTTTTTTTTTTTTTTCTTTTCTTTTCTCTTTTTCTTTTTCCTCTTTCTCATTTCCTTCTTCTTCTTCTTTTTTTTTTCTATTTTTCTCTTCTTTTTTTTTTTTTCATTTTCTCTTTCTTTTTCCTCTTTCTTATGAGGTTTCTTCTTTTCAGTTTTTTTTCTTTTTCAATTCTTTCTTTTCTTTTTTTTCTATTTCTTTCTTTCTTTCTTTTTTTCTTTTTCTCAAAAATTCTTCTTCTTTTACTTCTTTCAATTCTTTCTCTTCTTGTTTTTTTTCTTCCTCTTTCTCTCTTTCTTTTTCCTCTTAAATGGCAAGTTTTTCTTGTTTCTTCTTTACTTCTTTCAAATTCTTTTTCTTCTTGTTTTTTTTTTTCTTTTTTCTTTTCTTTTCCTCATTTTTGTTCTTCTTCTTCTTTTACTTCTTTTTTTCTTTTCTCTTCTTTTTAAGGGGGACAAAATCTCTTTCTTTTTCCTCTTTTTCTTTTTCCTTTTCTTCTTCTTTTTTCTTTTTCTTTTCTTTTTTTTCTTGTTTTTTTCCTTCTTTTTCTTTCTCTCTTTTTCTTCTTTTCCTCTTTCATTTCTTTTTCCTTCTTCCTTCTTCTTTCTTTTTCTTTTTTTTTTTTTTTTTTTTTTTTTCTTCCTTTCTTTCTTTTTCTTTTTTCTCATTTCTTTTCTCTTTACTTCTTTCTTTTTTTTTCTTTTTCTCTTTTTTTTTTTTTTTTTTTTTCTTTTCTTTTTCCTTTCTTTTCTTTTCTTTTCTTTTTTCCCTTTCTTTTTCTTTTTTCTCTTTCTTTTTCTTTTTACTTTCTTTTCCTTTTCTTTTTTTTTTCCTTTTTCTTTTTCTTTTTCTTTTGATTTTTTCTTTTTTTTTTTCTTTTTTCTCTTTTTTCTTTTCTTCTTTCCTTTTCTTTCAATTCTTTCTTTTCTTTTTTTTTTTTTTTCTTTCTCTCTTTCTTTTATTTTCTTTTTTTTCCGTTCTTCTTCTTCTTTTACTTTTTCAATCTTTTTTCTTCTTTTTTTTTTTATTTCTTTTTTCTTTTTTCTTTTCTTTTTTTCTTTTTCTTCTTTCTTCTTTTTCTTTTTTTTTTTTCTTTCTCTTCTTGTTTTTTTTTTCTTTTTCTCTTTTTTTTTCCTTTTTTTCATTTCCGTTCTTCTTCTTTTCCTCTTTCAATCTTCTTCTTTTTTCTTTTTTCTTTCTTTTTTTTCTTTTTTTTTTTTTCTCTTCCTCATTTTCCGTTCTTCTTTTTTTTTACTTCTTTCTTCTTTTTCTTTTTTTTTTTTTTTTTCTTTTTCTCTTTCTTTTTCCTCTTTTCTCATTTCGTTTTCTTCTTTTTCCTTTTTCTTTCTTTTCTTTCTTTTTTTTTTCCTCTTTTTCTTTCTTTTCCTTTTTCTCATTTCTTTTCTTTTTCCTCTTTTTTTTTTCTTTTTTTTTCTTCTTTCTCTCTTTCTTTTCCTTTTTCTTTTTTCTTTTTTTCTTTTTTTTTGAAGAACCCTTTCTTTTCTTTCTTTTTTCTTTTCTTTTTTTTTTTTTCTTTCTTTCTTTTTTTTCATTTTTTTTCTTCTTCTTCTTTTCTTTTTTTTTCTCTTTTCTTTTCTTTTTTTTTCCTTTTTCTCTTTTTCGTTCTTCTTCTTTTTCTTCTTTTCTTTCCAATTTTTTTTTTCTTCTTTCCTTTCTTTCTTTTCCTTTTCTTTCTTTTTCCTTTTCTTTTTTTTTTTCCTTTTTTCTTTTCTTTTTTTTTCTTTTTCTTTCTTTTTTTCCTCTTCTTTTTTTTCTTTTTTCTTTTTTTTTTTTTTTTCTTCTTTTTTCTTCTTTCTTTTCTTTTTCTTTTTCTTTTTTCTTTTTTTTTTTCTTTTCTTCTTTTTTTTTTTTTTCTTTTTTTCCTCTTTTTTTTTCCTCTTTCTTTCTTTTTCTTTCTTTTTTCATTTCTTTCTTTCTTTTCCTTTTCTTTTTTTTCCTTCAGTTTTCGTTTTTTTTCCTTTTCTTTTTCTTTTTTCTTTTTCTTCTTCTTTTCTTCTTTCTTTCTTTTCTTTCTCTTCTTTCTTTTTCCTCTTTCTTTTATTTTTTCTTTCTTTTTTTTTCTTCTTTTACTTCTTTCTTTCTTTTTCTTTTCTTTTTTTTTTCTTTCTTTTTTCTTTCTTTTTTTTTTCATTTTTTTTCTTCTTTTTTTTTTCTTTCTTTTCTTTTTTTTCTTTTTTTTTTTTCCTTTTTTCTCTCTTTCTTTTTTCCTTTCTCATTTTTTTTTCTTCTTCTTTTACTTCAGAAAAAATTCTTTCTCTTCTTGTTTTTTCTTCCTTTCTTTTTCTTTTTTTTCTTTTTTCATTTTTTCTTCTTTTACCTTTTTCAATTCTTTCTCTTCTTGTTTTTTTTCTTCCTTTTTCTCTCTTTCTTTTTCCTCTTTTCTTTTCCGTTCTTCTTCTTTTTTCCTTTTCTATTCTTTCTCTTCTTTTTTTTTTTCTTCCTCTTTCTCTCTTTCTTTTCCTCTTTCTCTTTTTCGTTCTTCTTCTTTTAATTCTTTCAATTCTTTTCTTCTTTTTTTTTCTTCCTCTTTCTCTCTTTTCTTTTTCCTCTTTCTTTCTTCTTCTTTTTTTTTTCTTTCTTTCTTTTCTTTTCTCTTCTTTTTTTTTTCTTCTCCTCTTTCTCTCTTTTTTTTTCCTCTTTTCTTTTTTTCTCATTTTTCTTCTTCTTTTTTCTTTCAATTTCTTTCTCTTCTTGTTTTTTCTGAGACTTTCTCTCTTTCTTTTTCCTCTTTCTCTTTTCCGTTCTTCTTTTTTTACTGTTTCAAATTCTTTCTCTTCTTTTTTTTTCTCTTTCTTTCTTTTTTCCTCTTTCATTTCCGTTCTTCTTCTTTTTATTTTCTTTCAATTCTTTTCTTCTCTTTTTTTTTTCTTTTCTTTTTTTTCCTTTCTCTTTTCCTCTTTCTTTTTTTTCTTTTCTTTTACTTCTTTCAATTCTTTTTCTCTTCTTGTTTGTTTTTTTCCTTTTCTCTCAAGTTTTTTCCTTTTTTTTCTCATTTCTTTCTTTTTCTTTCTTTTCTTTTTCAACTTTTCTCTTTTGTTTTTTCCTTTTTTCTTTTTTTCTTCTCATTTCTTTTTCTCTCTTTCATTTTTTCCTCTTTCTTCTTTTTCCGTTCTTTTCTTCTTTCTTTTTCCTTTTTTTTCTTTCTTTTCTTCTTTTTCTTTTTTTTTCCTCTTTCTCTTTTTTTTTTCCTCTTTCTATTCTTTCTTCTTCTTTTCTTTCTTTCAATTCTTTTCTTCTTGTTTTTTTTTTTCTTTCCTTTTCCCTCTTTCTTTCTCATTTCCGTTCTTCTTTTTTTACTTCTTTCAATTCTTTCTCTTCTTGTTTTTTTCTTTCCTCTCTCTCTTTCTTTTTCCTCTTTCTCATTTCCGTTTTCTTCTTTTTTGCTTCTTTCAATTCTTTTCTTCTTTTTCTTTTTTTTTCCTCTTTTTCTCTTTCTTTTCCTCTTTCTCATTTCTTTTTTTTTCTCTTTCAATTCTTTTTTTCTTTTTTTTTCTTTTTCTTCTTTTTTTTCCTTTTCCTCATTTCCGTTCTTTCTTTTTTTTTCTTTCAATTCTTTTTCTTTCTTTTCTTCTTTTTTCTCCTTCTTTCTTCCAATTTTTTCTTTTTTTTTCTTTTTCTTTTTCCTCTTTTCTTTCTTGTTTCTTTCTTCCTCCTTTTCTTTTTTCTCTTTCTTTTCTTTTCTTTTTCTCTTTCTTTTTTCTTCTTGTTTTTTTCTTCCTCTTTTCTTTTCTTTTTCCTCTTTCTCATTTTTCTTCTTCTTCTTTTACTTCTTTCTATTCTTTCTCTTCTTGTTTTTTTTCTTCCTCTTTCTCTCTTTCTTTTTCCTCTTTCTCATTTCCGTTCTTCTTCTTTTACTTCTTTCAATTCTTTCTCTTCTTGTTTTTTTTTCTTCCTCTTTCTCTTTCTTAAAGTTCTTTCTCATTTCCGTTCTTCTTCTTTTACTTTTTCTTTTAAAATTCTT